CTTAATATAAAGCAAATACCTGCATTCCACTCAGTTCTATTTGAATTTTGTTCTTTTTAAAAATATTAATAGAAGAGAGAGAGAGAAGTTTTCCTGTTGTCCTTTTCCAGATGTTCTCCCAGTCCCCCTTGGACCATAACAACTGAAGCTCCTGTTCCTAGTTATCTTTAATCATTATTTCAAAAGAAGATAACTCTAAATTGAGCAATTTATATGCCAGATGAATACCTAAATATGTCAGAAGCCAACCTTTAGTCCCTCCATATTTAACTCCTTCTTTGAAACTCAGCTAAAGTGTTGTTAGACTAGTCCCTTCCCATGTTATTAGCAACAGATAATCTCAAGCACATATTAAAACATAATACCTACTTGGTGCCTGGAATGTGGTCTGATGGTTAAAGCATAGAACTGAATTTAAGGTTTAAGGTTCAGTTTCCAGTTCTGTGACCAGCTGATTTATGTATTTATTTATTTAACCTTGGGGGCAAGTCACCCATTCTTCTTCTGCCTCAGTTTAACTACTTCCGAGGAGTTGCTGTGAGGTTTAATTTATTATTGTTATAAAAGTGCTTTGCTGTCCTCAGATAAAAGACAATGTGTAGGTGCCATGTATTGTTATTTACTAAATCCATAATATCTACCAATTACTTGTGATATCTGAAAATTGGTTAGTGTCCTTCATTTCCCATGATTTTTCCAATATCAATATTACCAGTGAATTTCCCCAAAGTAAAGTGCTTTATTATTGAGCCCTTCTCTGCAAGATGCACTGAAATGGAACAAAATGGATTGTGCGAAAGACTGGGAGCCAAGAACTCCTGTGTTCTCATCACAGCTCCTGACATTTTACCCATCACTGTTTGAGCTTCCTCAGAAGATAATCACCCAAGAACAAAATGTGAATTGTGCTGTCAAGAGGCCAGAATTACAAAACAGTGCTGTCAGGGCTTCAGTCATAAAGCTGCTGACTTGGTCAGATGTCATTGATTATTAACAGAGCCAGCTCTTTGTCAATCTGTATAGCTTAGTATCCAGTAAATACCCAGCTGTATTGACCTATTTTGGCTATAGTGTTGGGTGTTCATATTTGGATCCCCAAGCTGCGTGTCATATACAGTAATACTAAACTGAATAGGGACTATGAGTCTGATTTCTCACCTGGATGCTGTATAGAAATGTTTGTTCAGCTTTACTGCATTTTTTCAATGTTAAATGTCCAAGTAAATAATAATACCTAGCTCTTATATAGTGCTTTTCATCAGTAGATCTCTAAGTGCTTTACAAAGGAATTATCCCTGTTTTACAGATTGGGAAACTGAGGCACAGAGAGTTGAAATAAATTGCCCATGATAACCAAGTAGGACCAGAGTTAGAGTTGGGACTAGAGCGCTGGTCTTCCGAGGCCTAATCCAGTGTTCTAGACATTAGCCAACACTACCTGTATAAATACCTGATTTCTCAATCCATTTAAACCCAGAAGACCTGAATTATGTTAAATCTGACCTTCATGTGTCCATGGTAATGCTAAATTCATTGCTATGTAACAAATGAGTGGCAGCCACCCAAGAGAGAAAACCTTTATCTTCTTATTTGTTAGAAATACTTGACCTTTAGTATATAAACAATCCCCAGGATATAAAAAAACTGAACAATATGTAGCTTTTCCCAGAGCGCTATTATGTGACCTGTTCTCTTACTACCCAGTATAAAGAAAGAGATGGAAATTGGGAGGCCATGTAGAGCATGATTAATACCTCCCAGTAAGGTTCAGTTTCCTTTATACAATAACATTACAAAAAATGCTCCTTTGTTTTTGTCTGTTTTTAAAAATCAAACACCAGAATCAATCAGCAGGGAGACAGCTTACTTGAAAATTATCATGAGACTAAGCTCACCATCTGAGTGTCAGTAATGGGCCTTTACTCGGGCAAACTCCCACTAATTTCAATAGGAGTTCATTTGTAAAGACTGAGGCCCCAATTCTGCAATCACATCAACACCTGAGAAACATGACTCACTCAAGTAGTCCCATTGACTCCAATGGAATTACACACATGAGTAAAGCTAAGTACATATTTCAATGTTTGCAGGACTAGGGACAGATTGTAGCCTTCATGCTTTGAACCAGTGGTTTTGGTACATTAGGATCTGAAAATGTTTGAGGACCAATCAGGTAGTAGATTAAGTGTTTTGGAAGGAGATGCTTCCATACACTTTTACAAATTTAGTTGTCCGCAGGATTGAATTTTTTTTTCTACTGCAGTACATTGAAAAGCATATCACAATTCTAGCCCTAAATTTAGTTTAGCCGCTAGTACAAGGGAGCAAGTGATTACATGAGGATGAAAAAATGCAGCAGGCTTTAGGCAAGCTACAGTGTGGACAGTATTTTCAGTGACTAATTTGTTACTGTGTTGCAGGCAGCCTTTAAGATTAATGTTTAGATTAGGTGAATCACGGAGTGACTGGACAGCTCAGAGGACTGTTAAAGGGATTTGGAGCTTTCACCTGCACACACTATACCTGTTCAGTGTTGTGACAGGGTGTACCTGACCCTCTGAGACCCCCTGCTGGAGGCCTTGTGACCCTGCCACACCCCCGTCCCAGAAAAGTGCAGAGGAGAGGGACCTCCAAGCTGCCTAAAATGTCTGTGTGGGACACGGCCAATCAGGGCCCAGCAGGCTAGTATAACAAGAGCTGCAGGGCCAGAATGAGAGCAGTTCCTTGCTGGAGCTGGAGGAGTATGGAGGGTGTGCTTGGCTAGCTGAGGGAGCCAGGACCTCAGACACAGAAGTGCTGGCAGAAGCTGGATGGAGTAAGAAGAAACCCTGGGCTGGATTCTGGGACTCAATCAGGACAAGGCCCTGAGGTAAGGGTGAAGAAGGGGTGGGGCTGTGGGGAAGTGGCCCAGGGAATCAGAGCAGCAGTGCAGCTTAGATAAAGGGTCATGGCAGATGGCTGCTATCTACAATGTCCCTGGGATGGGACCCAGAGTAGTGGGTGGGGCTGGGTCCTCTCATCCCCCATTAGTCACTGGGGGGAAGTGGCCTGGACTTAGAGGCACCCCAGAAGAGGAACTGAACCCTTTAGTGGCCCAGCAGTAGAGCTGAGGGCTCAAAGTCCCGGAGAGGGCGAAGACATTGCCTCCAGGAGGGAAGCCATGGAGTATGGCTTGATACCAGGGCTGAGACCATTGATAGACTACAGGACTAATTAAGGACCTGAGCCCCAGGAGGGCTACAGGGAGTGAAAGTGGAGGCTCACACACACTTGACCAGGGGTCACTCATGAGAGATGAGTACATGCTATCAGAGGTGGTAAACAGAGAATGTCAATTTCCAGGCTGGTCACTCTTGTACTTTTCTCCATCCGCTTTAAAAGACTGATGGGAATAATTAAAAGAAGTATTTGGTTTGCAGGTACGAGTTGCATTTCACAATACAGAAAGCAACTACTTCTTTCACAGAAGGGGGTAGTTTGGGGGATTTGATGCTTCATTTTCCCTTTTATATCCTACAATATTGCTGATGTAATATCAAGAAAATACATTTTTAAAAGTCACCAATTAGCCTTGGGAATCCCTACAAGTGCATTCTACAGTTTTAGGGGATATTGTATCTGAAGGGAAAGTGGAGGTAGAAGATCTCTGAAATAGATATTTTGATCCTTTAGAAATCAGAGGCTCTGAAACTGTGGTTCATTGCCATTTGGGGAGAAGTGGCTGATCACATTGTGTTTTCAATTGAGAGAAACTGGACAGATGGGGAAGAGCAAAAGAAGATAGTGGATAAAATTTTCAAAAGTGCCTTAGAAGTCCCTTCTGAGAAGGGACTTAGGCTGTGAAATTACTAAGATGCTTTTGAAAATGTTATCCAATGTGATTAACATTTTTCATAAAGAACAAGACACCTATTGCACTGAAGACAGATTTTGCATCTGGATGTTAGGGAGTCACAGATGGGAGGGGAAGTTATTCACAAAATAATTTCTCCACTAAAATATGAACCACACTGTGGAACAATTTCAGAACTCGTGTAACGTTGTTCCAAAGCCCCAAGAGCCTGAAGGTTTTATGAAAATGTATTATCATCCCATAAACTGGATGTACCCAATATTATCTACAACAAATACAGTGCAACTACCTGGAAGATACATTTTATTTTTCAATCAAATGTTGGGTAGACTTTTTTTAAGGAATGGATCTCTGGACTGGGAAATAGGAGACATAGGTTCTAGTTCTGACTCTGGCCTGCTGTGTCATTTCACTGCACTGTGCCTCAGTTTCCCCATCTGTAAAATGGGGATAATGATAGTAACCTCCTTTGTAAAGTGCTCTGAGCTCTACTCATTGAAAGTGCTATATAAGAGCTAGGTATTATTGATCGCATAATTTTGAGCAACTTTTGAAAACAGTAAAAATACCCATGGTGCCCTTGGGTGATAAAGCAGTTGTGTGCCCACAGATGTGTATTCCTGACAGGGTCAAACCAGACTTTCTTGTAAGATTCTCTGCTTTGAACTTGGTGATATAAAACACTGATGTTACTTGATCTAGCTAGGGCAGAGTTGGAAGAGCTTCCCTTTGTATCTACTGTGTTTTTTCTCTGTTTGTTTTTAAGGTGTTTTTTAGCATGACCCAGAGCATAAAAGACAACCCACTATAAAAATGTAGATCGTTTACCAATGCTATATATAGTATTGGTGTAAATAAATGTGTGAAATGCCTTAAAATGTCTTATCACAGAAATCCACCATTTAACTTAGTGAAATCCATTACAATGGGATAAATTAATAGGTAGAAATGTTCAGTTGTCTTGAAAAAATAAAAAATAGGACACTATGCATGTTCCCCAATGAATACACCTATCTCATTTATTAAATGGTTTTATTAGGTAGTAGCCTGCTATTTTGTCTTAAAGAAAAAGTAATGTGACAGAGATGCTAAGTGGTACATATACACTATCTGAATCGGTAAGCAATGCTATTTTGTTTCTATACAGAGAGCCTCGGAAAGTCATCCTGCACAAAGGCTCCACAGGACTTGGTTTTAACATTGTGGGAGGAGAAGATGGGGAAGGCATTTTCATATCCTTCATCCTAGCAGGTGGGCCAGCAGATCTCAGTGGAGAGTTGCAGAGAGGAGATCAACTTTTATCTGTAAGTATCTGTCATTTTTGCTGGCCAGTTACTAGTTCTTGTTGGTTGTCTTTTCATGTGTTGGGAAAACATAACCTTGGGTTTTCATTCAATGTTTCACCCATAGAACAAAAGGCTGGACCCCCTTCCCAGCCCCAAATAGTACCTGGAAGGGATTAAAATGTTTGGAAGATTATATTTTATTCTATAGACCACATGACATATCTCACCATGTATTGTGTACAGCGTATGTTGTAAAAGATTTAGTAGCATTTCTTTGGGAAGGCCTGCATAACTCACTCAGGGCTTTGCCACAATAGAGTAATGTGGTCATTCCAAATTCATGCTATAAAGCTTTAGATCACATTGCGCTTGTGCACGTGTGAACGTATATCCATCTTTATATAACATAGTATAGAAAACTAATAACCCTGCGGTCCCATGGATTGGGAAGATGATAGACATGAGTGGACAAGATTTTCAAACCAGCCCAATGCCCCTTTAGACACCCAGGCTTTGTCTACGATACAAGCTAGGGGTGTGATTCCATTGCTTGTGTACACACACTTGTGCCAGCTCTCATCAAGCTAGCATGAGTATAAATAGCAGTGTAGCCACAGCAGCATGGGTAGTGGCAGCGAAGACATGGGTTAGCTGTCCAGACTACAAACCATAGCGTACCCCATGACTTGACACAGCTAAGCTGTGCCTCCGTTGCCATTACCTGTGCTACCACGGCTATGCTGCTATTTATACTCATGTTAGCTTGTTGTGAGTGTATGTATATGGGAGTAGGGGAAATCACACCCCTAGCTCACAGTATAGATGTAGTCTCAAATAAGGGCCCAACTTTCAAAAGCTCATTGTGACACTTATGGCCAGATGTTCAAATAAAGTTCAGCGTGTGAAGTTCTTCTGAAAATCTATTGAAGCGTGTAAAATGAGTTGCTGGCTGCTGGACACGTTTGGAAGCCTGGCCCTTATTTAGGTTCTAAAATAGAACTGAGCTATTTCGAAAACTTGCCCACTTATTCTGAAATTCTGGCCGCAGTTGTGGGTGTTGAACACTCTGTGTAGCCATCTATAGTTCGCTCATCATCACGGTCTCTGCTGCTTGAACTGGGATTGCCACACCAAGGTCTTAAAATTGCATGTTTGTTTGTGACAATATAGTTTTATAGAATATTATGTTGTCACTTTGTGAACATTTCAGGTAAAATTTTTGAAAGTGTTGAAGAGATTTGGGACCCTAAATCTTACTGGTGATTAGTGGGACTCAGTTCCTAAGTCACTTAGGCCCTTTAACCTTTTTTAACCAATAGTCAATAATACAATTTTTATTTTATGATTTATACAGTGGGTCAAATTTGCCCTCAGATAGGTGTGTGCATCTTTTTCAGAGGGTAGGCTCTCACCTGGTATATTTTAGTACTACGCTGTGGCTGTTTTTCTGAAGTTGTGAGTGGCATCCTACAAAGGCACTTTTCATCCTTCATTGTTTGAATGAGCAATGAGGTAATGTGCAGCTGCCTGTGAGTGCTCAGATTGGGGGGAAAAAGAGAGGGTACCTTTAACATACATCTGGTCCTTGCAAGTTACAAAGACAACTTTCGTTATTCACAGTTTAACACTCTGTCTGGTTGATTAACAGCACTTTATTATACACTGTCTGTTTTTGGCCAGCTCAGCTCCATAAGTACAGATCAGCATCTTCTCAGAAAAGATCGCTTGGCTAGCAGTGTCCTTTTCCTTCCCTGTTGTTCCACTCTTTAACATGCTCATGTGAGTGCACCTATAGAAAGGCCTACTAATCAAATCTTTTACATCGAGTACCATAATGTGCTTTCTTTCTCTTTCATACACTTCTTCCAAACAGGATAGACAGAGGCAGAGAGAGCTTCTATCTTTTCTTTTTCCTCCTTTGAGGGAAGAAGTATTGGGATTTGGCAGTCTAGACTATGTGCGCCATCTAGTGTATGTTGAGCTAATTAGCAAATTTCCAATATGAGAAGAGGTTTAGCTACATCGTGTTCATTATTTCTGTGCTTGTAATGAATTCGATGGTAGCTCTGCAATTCATTTTCCATTTTTAATGGATAAAAGATTTTGTAGCCTTAGGCTATATTTTGCATACATAATCTCATTAGCATCCTTATCGTTCTCTTTCATGTATATATTGATAGTGTGCAATTAAGAAATAGAGCGTTTATGTTTCAAGGTGTACTCAATAATTCAACATATGATTTGAGTGTTCTGTACAAAGAGGATTTTAAATCACAATCAAACTTTCCATAAAGTATCCTCCTAGAATAGTTGATCTTATGGTATAATGAAGATATACTGTGCGATTCCCAGGGCCTGATTCTATGTAAATCTAAGATTTTATTTGGCCCTCATCACTATGCTGAGCTTGTAAGGGTGGTCTACCTAGCTCACATACTTTATACAGCCCCATTATTGTAGTACCTGAGTACGTTACTTCATCGTCTTTAATTTAAACTCACAGTACCCCTGTGAGGGAGGGAAGTGCTATTATCCCCATTTTACACACGGAGAACTGAGGCACAGACAGAGTGACTAGCCCAAGATCACACAAGAAGCCTGTGGCAGAATGGGGAATTTAACCCAGGTCTCTAGAGTTCCAGGCTAGCTCCCTAATCACTGAATCATCTTTCCTCTGAGTTTTGTGGGTGCGATTTTTCTGGACTTCAGTGGGAATACCATGCAAACCATTCTAGCAAAATCAAGTTAGAGCTAGCAGGAATAGGAATCTTTTGTCCTTTATTACTTGTGTGAATTTGTAATAGATGATAGAAAAGGAGCAGGGCCTGCCTTTGTGGAAAGCTGACATATTCTGTTGGTACCAGGCAAATGAATTTTGAACAATTAAAGGGAGATATTATTATTATATAATGTCATGTTGTGTATAAATGAAGACTGTTTTGTCCAGTTGGAACTGCCAGGGGATTTAAATAGTCAGAATGTAATTATCCAACTTGGAACTAGGCCAGGGCATGATATTCTGCAGGGTGAGGACAGTGGAAGCTATTTGATTGTTTATTGACCTGAAGTGGTAAGGGTCATAATGTTACGCTTCATCCATCGCATCGATTGAAAGAATATAACCTTCTTTCAGTAAGTAGGTTGATTTTTGGTTCCTTACTGTTTTCTCAGCCTTTTTTATTTATTTATTTTTTTTTAATTTTTTTGGATCTCTTATCTGTTCATGTTGTCTAAACATCTCTGTATGCTCCCTTTTCTGCTTTCTTTGGGACTTTGAGGAAAAAGATGTGTTCTTCCCTCAAATTAGCTAGCATGTAGAAAGTAACATGAGGTGAAATCACAGTGAAGACAGGGCAGTTTGTAGTTCAACACAATTTAGCAGGTCAAGGTAATGGCAATGGGGAAGCCTGCAAACTGCCATGTCTTGACTAGGATTTTACCTTGTGTTATTTACCATGTCTTAGCGAGGGGCGGCTCCAGGCACCAGCGCTCCAAGCGCATGCCTGGGGCGGCAAGCCGCGGGGGGCGGCCTGCCGGTCACCATGGGGGCAGCAGTCAGGCAGCCTTCGGCGGCATGCCTGCGGGAGGTCCGCCGGACCAGCGGATTCGGCTGCAATTCGGCAGCGGGTACGACGAAGCCGCGGGACCGGCGGACCTCCCACAGGCATGCCGCCGAAGGCAGCCTGCCTGCCGTGCTTGGGGCGGCAAAAAAGCTAGAGCCGCCCCTGGTCTTAGCTAACATCATAAACAAACCCATTCAGTGTTTGATGGTTGCTCTCACAGATTCCCACGGGTGTATATTCTGTCCACCAGGAGTCAAGTTCCTGCTACACAATGTATGCTTAAAGTTACATTCAAAAGGGAGTTTGAAATACCCTATGGTGTTCATAAGATGACACAGACATTCCCTCCAGCTGTCACAGGGGATAATAGCACTTCCCCCCCTCACAGGTGTGTTGTGAGAATAAATGCATTAAAGAGTGTGAGATAGGGGCCATATAGGTATCTAAGGTAGATATGTTGTAGTTTTACAAGCAGTCCTCTTAATGTCAGAAAGACCTAAACAAACTGAAAAAGTATTAAGAAGAAATATTGTTTCTCTAATCTGTTTCAGTGACAATCATTTTACTTGCATCAAGAGCAGGTGAAAACTTTCAGGCAGATGTGTGAGAGTGCTGACTTTACAATTTGGAAGACATCCGCTTCCAATGGCATGTAGCTGAGTTTTGTGCATGTTGAATGATTCGTGCAAATTGATGATGATTTCCAGCCTACTGCTCTTTTAGTTTAATGATGCTGGCAAGCCCTGGATACATTTATTTAACCTTCACAAAATTTGCATGTATTTAATAGCACTTTGCCATTGAAATTCAGGCTTATTCGTTAGTCATATCTCAACTGGATCATTGTCACAGTTTCTTGGTTGCCCTTCCTGGTTCATCTGTCATGGGTTTCCAGTCTATTTAAATTTTCATGACACATTTGTTCCATCGCTCTGTATTATCTTGTCACCCTTTGCTGTAATTGCACTGGCTCTCCATGCATCTAAGGATCAGATTTAAATGATTGGTATTAGCTTTTACAGTACTTAACACTTCAGTCCTCTTACATTGACATAGCTTAATTCAAATATGAAAGCAAATAAAACTCATGGTGGGAATATGTGGCTAGATCTCGTTACTAAGATCCTGTTCCAACCATGCTTGCTGCTTCCTTGGCCATATGAGACTAACAGAGCTCCTGTAGCCTAAGCAACACAAGGTCACAAGTAGGGATTTTAGTCCTCACTGGCTTTAAAAAAACTGCCATGAACATTTAAATGTTAGTTAAATATATTTTCTGTTTGGTTAGCTATATTATCTGAGACCATTGTCTGCAAAAGCAGATGTGAGATCAGAGCCTTTCCCAGTATGGTCTGTTCACAACTTCTGCACATCAGACACAACTCAGGAAAGTATCTTTGACATTTATATTTATTTTTAAATAGACTTAAATAATAAGCTGTGATGCTGCAGCAG